TTTTTTTTTTTTGATGATTATTCTGGACAAAGAAGGTGAGGATCCTTCATCCTCTTTGGCGTGAAAGGAGACTATGATGGCGTAGAACTTACTAGAAACTCGGTCTACACGATCAATTTAGTGAGTTTGGCATCCCTGGGCAACACTACAAGTGCAGTGCAGAATATCACTATGAGAAATTTTTCAAATTGTGTTTGCAACTTTCAAGTCAATCAGGTAGGAAAAACATCTTCTCTTTTGGATCCTCGGAGAATCGACAATGTCACGAATTGTAAAATATAGTAGCACGCAGTTCAGTTAGTAAACTACACAGAGAAAAAGATTAAACAGATAAATAGAATCCTAAAAACTGATTAGTTATATGAGGGTGTAGAAGGAGTCAACCAAATAGGTGAGGGCACAATCCTTTTCAAGCTCCCAACATAATCATAAATGCCGATATCGTGCCCCCATACATTTTTTCTTCCTCCTCCTCATCGAAATTCGAATTTCCTGCGCTGAATACAGGGTCTTCCGTGAAGTATATGGAATCGGGCTGAAGCCCGTTGTTAGGCATCACTGCAAACGAGTGGTTATGCCCAACAAACATGGTCAGCCCACTCAACGACCCATCAACATAGCTCAACTTCCCTCCTCCACCTTCTTCCCGGTCGATCTTATGTACATCAAAAGCCACCGTTTTGTACGGGTATTCATTGTCTCGTTCAAAGTCTTCCACAGATAAACCATCCAGAGCCATCTGCTCAACTAAATGACGCGTGACAAGAAACAACTGCCGCAAATGCTCTGCATACACCAAGTATCTAAGTGCCCTAGTCCAAATGCCGGTCTCCGACAAACGTATTTTCTCCACATCATGCAACCAAGCAATGTAGTTTTCAGGGCCCAACAAGTCCTTGTGGTTCCACCACACCAGCCTAGGCGAGGTGGGGTCTGTGAGATCCCACGCCTCCAAGTCGTCGCAGTCAATCGCCGTGAGGCAGAAGAATAGATTCTCCGAGTTTGAGTACACGACATCCTCGTAATTCCGAACGCGATTGGGAGGAGGACAAGTGTGGGTGCCAATGCGGGTCCAGCTTGCCCCGCCCGGGCAGCAGAAAGCGAGGATATCCGCGATGTCGTGGATCATCATGGCCCGGCAATCTTCATGTTCCGGGTCTTCATCAGAGATTATCACCTTGTTGACCCACGCACAGCCGTCGATAACGGGGACGGGCGGGCGTTTGACGTGGCGGCCGGTGAGGGGGTTCGACAGGAACAGGTCGGAGTTGGTCTGGTTGAAAAGGGCCAGCCAGCCGTGTGAGGATCCCACGACCACGGTCGTTTCTAATTTATTGTACGGTGATGTCCTGCCGTCAAAGCTCAAGACTCTGTCGAGCGACGTCCCAGGCTGTACAAGTTGTAATTAACCATTCTGCCGCCCTCAAACGACGGCGGCAGCATCATACACGGAACCCTGCTCGGTGCCGCGGCGGCGGCGGCGCTCATAGAACGAACACCGCGACTCAAATTGGGATTTGAAGGCCTCAAGCTCCAAGTTAACAATCGGAAAGCAGAAGATAACTTTGACAAAGCCACCATTTTTATGCAAAACAAAGCTCCCTCTTTAAAACCGGCGGCATACGGAGCCCTTTGGGCTGTCCAACTAGCATTATTTTCATTTGGGCTCAATCTTGTTATTTTGGTTTATTGGACTTGGAGTGCTGAATCAAGTATTACTGCTCCTTAAGTAATCTTATTTTTATAAGTACGAGATTTCTTAATAATTAATTACACTAGCAATAGGAATAATTAATGGGAGATGCTACAGTCCCGTTACGGAACCATTCCGTCGAGTTTGTAATCGTTAGATCACAATATAACCGTCATGGATAGTTGATCTAACAATTACAAATCCCGACGGAATAGTTCCGCAACGGGACTGTAGTATTTCCCATAATTAATACCTTATTTAACTGACCCAAAATTAATCTATATCTATATATATATAAACAGATTTATCATCTATTAATATATAATAAGAATTAACATAATTTACTTTTAAAAACTCTTTCCCGCCATTAGCATTAAATACACCCTATTTATAGTAATTCTTTATCAAAAAAAATATCTAACATTAATGATGCAAATAACTTCTTTAATAATCGCATGGAAACAAACAATTTACTCCCTTAAATATCACGATTTATATCTAATTTCTTTCCGATTCTTCCAAATTCTTCCAAATAAAATAGATTATGCATGGAATCAGCCAATTTACCAACTATTTTTATAATTTTGCCGAATAAATAAGATTAAGGCCGGTTGAACATGGTATAATATCATTTAATTTACTAATTTAATATAATTTTACCAAATGATATAATATCGGTTGTACATTGTATAATATAAATTAATAATTTAATAATTCTGTCAAATAATATAATAATATATTATAAACTTAATAATATAATAATATAGCTCTTTCAAATAAAATCGGTTGTACATGATATCAATTCTATATCTTTATGTATAAAATAAGATTAGACTTAAATTATTTTAGTAATCTTTTCCCGTCATGCATTAATTATTACCTAATTTTAGTATTCCTTGACAATTCGGGATAGCATATCTCGGCGCATTAATTGTCAAATGATATGGAATAATTGATTTAATAGTTGATGGATTCAATTCCCGGTTTTTATGGAATCAAATATCAGGTGTATACACGTTTCAAATAATTTAATAATATAATAATAGGCTGAATGATTTATGCGTCGGATTCATGCAAAGAAAATTTTGAACAGATTTCTAAAATCATGGTTTGTATATATCATCTATTCATCAATTGAATTTTTTTCTACATTATCGGTTTGAAAAGGAAAACGAATTTTATATACCTTATCGGTTTTGATAATACAAATGTTATAACCATTCTCATTATTTATTTTAAAAGATAATGTATATCATTTATTTGCTTTCAAAAGATGAAATTTTTTTCATAGTTTAGGTCTCTTTTTATTTATGCATTTACACAAATTATCTAAACGATTGCCAATAAAATTTGTTATATATTGAATCAAACCAGTAATTAATAAAAAAAGTCCATCAATCACGAAATTAAATAATTAACAAACGATCACTACATTTAAAAGATTAAATTTTTGAGATAAACATTCATTTATATTATCACGACGATAAACAAGGGTGAGTGTAAGTCTTTATCGCATGTTTGCATATTTTTTTTAAAAAAAAACATGTTTTTAGTTACAACCACTTATATATTGCAATTTCTCTTGATGCAAATAGAAAATGGTTGATAATATTAATTTGTGGGAATAACAAGTTCCTCAATAATCAAACTAATAATATTTTTTACAATTAGGTTTTTAATAACACGTGATTTTTTCAGACCCAAAATATTAATTACCAGCTATAGATGGAAATATTATAATATGATATAAATAAAAAATAAATTATTGCATAATTTTCATATAACTCGGCTTTCGGTTTGTGTTTGTTTTAGTCAATTCTTGGTTTCCTTTAAATACATAGATAGTGGTTTTGTAGGCAAAGATTATGTAAATAA